AGTCGCCATCCTCAGGTCTTTGAGCAAACCTCGATGATCCTCGCCGTTGGACTCCTGTGCCCACACACGCTCCGCACACGCTCTGCACACAAGTCGCTCTGCGCGAACGTGCTCCTCTTTGGAAGGCCAGGGAGAGCAATTCGATTCAATTCATGTTGCTAGGGGCACCAAAAATAGCTGCTGGATGTTGGCTACCGACAATTGAGTGTACAGCTGTTGGTAATTGCTAGCCACAGGGCTATGGGGCAGCAACGAAAATTTTTCTGGGCCCTGCAGTGCAGCCTTGGGAAGGGATGCAGTAGAATCAAGTGAGTCTGCCACCACTCACTTAAGATGACCCTTGCTTATGGGTATGGCTCAACACCGGAATCCTCCTTGAAAGGAGCTGCTTGTTCACTCCTGTAACTTGTCCTTCAGCTTCTGGTTAAGCTCACGGGCCTAGCAAGTCAAACGTGATCCTGACAAGGGGAGTCAAACTTGCTAGAGAAACGGAACGGCCTGTTGCAGCTGTTGCTTGAGCTTTGCCTTAGCTGAACAACTTGGGGTACGTACCAATACCACGTCCATCCAAAAAGAGTATTTGTATCCTCAGGATGGGACTTCTTCCCGAGCAGACTCCTCTTTGGCCTGCTTGACTTTCGCTTCTTCTTTGCGGCGCTGCTGTTCCTTGGCTTCTGCCTCCTTCTTCTGCTTGTTGAGTGCCTGTTTCAGCTTCCGCACCTTGGAGGGCATGTTCCTTTCTGCCTCTCTCTCTCTCTCTCTGGGTTTCTATTATCATGAAACATATGTTGACACTTATGTAACTTATGAATTGTATATTAATACACACGTAATATAATGCTATATATATATATGTTAGCTTTGAGTCCTGTCTGTCCCTTGGGCAAAACCATGTTGCTCCGCTTCGACTTGTCCAAAGATCACAACAGGCCCTTTCCTTGCCCTAGCATGCTCTAATGATGTCTATGGCCCACTGCGATGGCCCTTTGTTTCCACTGCCACGCTCGATTCGGAAAAGCAAGTGCCTGTTGTTGATGTGCTTGATTCTGCTGATGATTGAATGCCTTCTCTTGCTTGAGCTGAGCCTTCAAGTTGGCAAGCCTCAGAAAAAAACATGAAATAATTGTTCCCCTCCTCCACCCTCCCTCTCGCGCTTGCATGACTTGCATGACACTTCTGTCTTGGTCACCGGCTCTTCATTCAGTTGCTGCTCCTCCAGAGCAATTCCTCGGAGTCGCCCCTGCAGCGCCTCCGCCTGTGACAGTGGAGGAAGCGGTTTCCCTGCGTGGGCTCTTGCACGTGGCTTAGTACGTAGAAATCCAGCACTCCAAAGCCGAAGTTGCTTCTGGAAAATGAGTGGAGCAAGTAGGAGCAAGAAGCTACTAGTAGCTCCTGGCATTACTACCAGTAACAAGAAGCTACATGAAGCTACTAGTAACTAGTAACAAAGGGCATCCTCACAGATTGCTCAACTGGGACTCCTTCTCGTCGGAGACTTCGAGCCCCTCTTGAGAAATCTCAGCCTGAGACATGCAGTCAGCGTAGTTCAGCGGATTGTTTTCTAGAGATACAACACACTCTTTCTCTCCCCTTCCCTCCCTCCCTCCCTCCCTCCCTCTCTCCCTCTCTCCTCTCTCTCTCCTCTCTCTCTCTCTCTCTCTCTTTCTCTTGCTCTTTCCAGTTTGCGCAAACCCCGTATCCAATCCAGATGCATCTGGAAAGAAAACATGCTCTTGGATTCTGAACCAGAAAAACAGCGGTTCCTGGCAAAACACTGCCTCCACTTGGCACCACTCTTCCATGTCCTGTCAGGGCTCAAAGAGGGCACCCTGCAGGATTCTTGGGAGAGTTACACTAAGATCAACACTGAAAAGGATATCAGCGTCATCGTGCAGTGTCGGTGCTTCAAATTCGTACTCCCACGAACGAAGCAGCGAAGACTCGTCGAAAAAAAGAGAAAAACATCGATGTCAAGCGGATGATCGTGGCATCGAAAACCCCAAGAATGGACAATCAGTTGTCTCGCCCGGGCAAAACAGCAATCAGTTAGTCTCGCCAGAATCTCTGCAACACAGCGCCACTTCCAAGCAACGGGGGGGACCTCCTAAGTCGTCGATGGGGGTTCCCCTGCTGAACGGCCAACATGCACCATGGAGCTGATGCCATCTGATGCCCAACACCACACAAATGGACTGATGTGACTGATATCTTCACATGTGACCACCAACGGGCATCCCTTTCACCCATTGATGTCGGCAAAGCTCGTACCTGCATGGTGATGTCGGTGTTCACTTCCACACCTCGGCAGTGATGTCGACACACAGATGAACCGAATGGTACTGTACCCGTGACCTCCCCATGACGGCGACCTGGGAAACCCCTTTCAAAAGCTGATTAGGGTGATGTTGAAGTGGTTTCCTCACACCATCCCATCCCATCCCCATCTTTCATCTTTCTGTTCCTGAAGGCATGTGAAAGGGCCGCCTCCGTTAACAAAACAAAAACGACCTCGACCGCCTCACCGGGGCGGAGGTCGTTCGACCGCCGAATAACGACTGGATTCCACCGGCAGCAAGATGGGCCAAGACACATTTTGTCTCCGGCCTTTCTCCGAAGGCATCGACCGCCGACCGGCTGGCCAGGCGAATCCAACTCTCGAGCTCATCGGCCAAGGACAGCGCCTCAGAAACGGTGAGGACCATGTTGGACCGGAATCCTCCAAGAAACGGCCACAGAAACGATGAAGACACATGCACTTGATTATGTATATATATATATATGTTTGTTTCGATATATATATAATGGTTGTGAAGAATTCCTTGAGATGACCAACTTGAAGAATTTCAGTAGAAGTCCCAGCTGTTTTTATAGCGGTCGTGGGAGTTCCCTCCGTTCCGGAGGGTCTGGTTGAGTACGCCGTTTCGGACAGTCAAGCCAAGGTCTTCAAGGTCTTGGAAGAACATGAGCCTGTCTGACTTTTTGGTCTCTCTTCAGACGAGATACACGGCCTGACGCCGTTGGCATTGCGGCTAAGAGAAGAATACTTAAAAGATCTTAAGAGATTGAAAGGACATGGACTTGGGATAAGCTGCAGTGGTAATTGATGTGGAATATCCTGGACTTTTCTGGACACCAGCAAAGAGGAGTACAACCACACAGTTGCATGTTTGTTGAAGTAGTGACCGGTGCTGACCCTCCTGAACAGCTGAGACACATGTTGACCTGTGCACGCGGCCCGAATTGGTTCGAGCCTTCAATGATCAAGCATGTTCCAATGGTGCTGTGTGCCACATGGCACTGATTCACTTCAGCCGGCTGCGCCGGCTGCGGATTCCGGTCGTTTTCGCCGTGGCACCTGCTCACAGCACCGAGACCGAGTGGGGACTTTGGAACCCTTTCCGCTGCGGAAACCACTCCCTTTTGCACACAGCTACCAGTCCATTGTCACGTCCTGAGAGATCGATGATCGAAGTTCGATGATGTTTGTGACCTCTCTGGAGCTGAAGAGTCGTGAAGCACCGCTACAAAGAAGTGAGGTCTTTTGGCTTTGGGGTATCTCTATCTGACAGTGTCTGACAGTCTACTGTACAAGACTATCAAGACTGGACATACACAGCTACTGCCATCCACTTGAGTTTCGTTCGACGTCTCTGTAATCTTGGATAATCTTAGATTTGTCAAACAACCTCAAACAAATAAACACTACACTCGTGCCCCCTCAAAGAACTGTGCTTTGGTCGAACATAGCCGCCGCTCCTCTGAGGCGGCCGACACCTCCTCACGCTGCAGCCACCTCACATCCAACACGTCATGGGATGTGATTTTCGACCAACGACGCGAGTGGATAAGGTGGTGACCACCCAGCATCCAAACTGGGCCTCTCAAGAATGCGCCTCTCAAGGGTCTTACCGGTATGTGTGTATATAATATAACATAATACAATATAACATAGTATAATAATATATAATATCACCTACAGTATATTCATCTATCAGATCATGTTCTATCAAAATCTCTCTCTCTCTCTCTCTCCCTCCCCTCTCCCTGTCTCTACTCGATCTTCGGGGATCCTCTGGGCTTGATGGCAAAGCTAGCCTCCAGAAGAATGACTACGCTCCAAGGTGTTTGTTGGTGAATCCCAAAAGCTTCACCCCCGCCTGGTGAGGTATTCGCACTTCTCAGGACAAACACGCCCACCAGCCTTGCGTGTTTGAGCAGACCAAGGGCAAGAACCAAGGAATGGTACTGTCACATAACAAACGCCGCACGCCTGATGGACTACGACAGCAACATTTGAAGAATCAATGTTCAGCTATACTCGTACTAGCTACGACATGCTGCTCCAGGGTTCCTGCAACTGTTGAATCCTACTGCTACTACTCTTGACTCCTGACTTCCCCACTTACTGCAACTTGTGCACTCTACCAACTAAAACCTATAACCTACTTAACTTCATCTTAATTCACATCCGGAATCTGCATCTGAACCTTACAGAAAGCAATTGAAGCAAAACACTGTTGTTACATTACCCACCCTACCCCATGCCCAGCTGGGGCTGCTGGAATCATTGGGGGTCATCGGATATTTCTCATATGCCATGATATGATTGCAAGATGAGTCTCCTGACATCGTCGGGTAAAGCAATTTCACAACATATTTGACTGCCATGCTGACCACATCTGACCATGCTGCCGTAGAAAAACAAACACCGTTCAAACAACCATCGGCAGCTCCGTTTTTTGCCTGCAAACCATAAGCTGCACAGGATGAAATCACTGGGCAACACCATGAGCTCAGTCAGTCACTTCAAAACGACCAAATAAAATTATAGCATGCGATATTATATGATCATGTACGGTATCCAAACTACAAAATAGAAACGGTGTGCCGACGGTGTGCAAATGTGTGTACCATTGTACGAGCACAAATAAACGATGTTCAATACATGTTCGGTTCGGAGGGGATTTACTTATCCATCGATTATACTATTCTGCGGGGGGTCACTCCAGTGCATCTTCCACAAGCCACGTTTGTTTTCCGTTGCAGCTCGCATTCAGATCACGTTCAACGTCGCAGAACAGAAGAAGTAACTGAACAATTGCAGAGGTGTCCCTTCCAAAGCTCCGTTTCGATCCAAAACGGCTCGGTTTCCGCCGTTTGGCCGCTGCGGAAAGGGGCGCCTTGCATTCATTCCGCAGGGGACAGCACAGGCACGGGACGACCATGCTTCCCTCCATCTCGCCAGCCGGTTGAAGGAAGCGGGGCAAGCGCGCCGCAAAGATGTCGAAAGGCCTTTGGAAGTGACCTCAGGCTTAAACCCCAGCAGATGTCGGGCGGACAAGAAGCAAGTCTGCCCGCCCCACCTGGGTGAAAGGGACAGGGAAAAGGAAAAAGGCAACAGGAGCGAAAAAGATCTGCTGAAAAAGATTTCGTTCGAATCCCTCAGAATCCGGAAGCCCGTGGATGTTTAATGTTTGAGGCCTTCAAGCATGTGTGTCCAAAACGTCTGGAAGTCTACTGGTCGAATCGTCCAAACGCTGAAGAACGGTAAGAACCCATCCCGTCTTCTCACCCAGTTCTCACATCAGTGCGCCTGCGCGTCTCTTCACAAAGACTTTCTGCCCGGAAGCAGTTCGGACTGAAGTGACATCTTCGTCCAGCTCCAAGGTCTTCATGATGGAAAGAATATCTTCCTTGGCAGTTCGAAATCCGCTCACCGTCGTGACCATCGGGACCGGGAACCACCCACTCTGTCGGATGCTCACTCCTTCCACTGACGGTTCGGACGGTTCAGAGCTGGACAACCGTTTTCACACCGCCGGCAAGAACGCCGCTACTGCTCAAGCGGCTGCAAACCGTTCCGGACAACGAACACCAACTAGGTCATGTGATTCTGTGATTCAACTCTCAGAACCCCCTCATCCGGCTGATCGACATCAGCTCTCTCCACGACACCTCGGTTGGAATTTGAGGTCCCGGATGTTGCATGACCTCATCAATGGCGCCACGTGGTCCATAGGAAGGCTGGAGTCCCCCCCTACCCCCAAAAGTTGGGGTACAAACGTGGCGGGGAAGGACCGCGCATCATCCGATGCATGCGAGTCTGCGTCATGCCGAGTGCTGCTGGCTCTTGTTGTGGGTAGGGGGGTGGGGCCAAGTGGGAACGTTTGTTGTGAGTGCCAACGACAAAATGTTGCGTGGGTGAAGTGGCATAGAGTTGTGGTGGGTGGGTGTTATTGCCTCGGGGAAAATTTGGTCCGTGAAAACATGGGTACACGATGGTACATGGAGAAATCGTAGGTTGACCACGCAGGGCCGCAGGGCCACAGAAAACCTCTGTAAAGTACAGTGTTTCCAGCCTCTAGACTATATGATATGTCCTTGAGTCCTCGCAAAAAAAAAACTGCAAAATGTGGTTTGGTGACCAACCCACTTAGACACAAAGTTCAAAACCCCCATGGTCACCATGTTTTGCCCAGTACGTTGAGACTGTCAGTTCCTTGTCAGCTGTTGGTATAGCTCGGCATGGTTGCAAGCCCTTGGTGTAGGGTCACAATCTGTGCACCCAAAGTAGTTTGACGCATGTGTCAAGCTATTGCGGCCCATGTTCGACCTGCACACACAACTATATACAAAATCATACAAAAGTCAAACAACCATGCCCCGGTTTAATTAGTTGCCGCTGGAGCAACCTGCGAGGTCTGGCAAGTGTCAGTCTACCCAAGAGTTGTTCAAGTATGCATCTGGATTTCTGGAGCCCATTGAAAATAAAGGGTTTCCCTGAAACAGTCATGGAAGCGGAGTTCACCAGTTGTTTGGTCTTCGGAAAATCCTCCCTTCGGGGCCATGCCATCCACTTCCATGATTCTTTCGGAGTGTCACATCCTCTTTAAAAATCTCTTGAACTTGAACCCTACAAGAAAAAGGGACCAAGGCCATCGCCAACGTCGCCCTCGCAGCACACCGACGTCACCAACCACCGCGTCATTAGCGGGCTATTAGGTCTCCCGACGTAGCGATGTAGGTCGGCTTGGGTGGCCGGCCGCGGGTGTTGGGCCAAGAAGGCCAGGCAGTGTTCCCGCAGGGTTTCCTGAGATGCAACGAGATGGAGCAACGAAACAAGGATGGCCCCGGGCACCTTCGAGTCCCAGTTAGTGAAAGGAAAACCCTCATCCATGGCAGAGGAGCCATGGAGTATCCATGTCCGTTGCAAACGCGGTTTGCATGCACTGACAATACATGAAAAGATACCTTTCAGCCATATTTCAGCCTAGAGTCTACATAGCTGCTGTTGAACTCGCCATCTTTGTACCAGGTACCTGCAACGGGGCGGTAGAGACCTGCAGTACATAGCTGTGTCACGTGTGATTCAAATTGATCTATCAAGAGTTACAGCGAACCCCCGTTCACTGAGCACATCTCATGGGCCCACAAGAGATGCAGCCACACCAAGAAATGATGTTAATTAGACACCTAATTCTAATTAAATTCTATAGCTTCTTATTGTTTCTAATAGCTTTTTGTTACTACTAGTAAGGCACTTGTTCCTAGTAGCGTGGCACTTGTTCCTAATAGCTTCAGGCAGTTACTCGCAAAACATGTCGCAATCGCATGGTTCACAGCCATACCCTGCGCCGACCGGTCCGGACATGCTTGGTGCAAGGCGGCAAGGCACAGGCCAGAAACTTTTTTTTCAGGCTCTTCTTAATGCAGCTGCATGTATTCTGTCATCATCTGTCATCGTCATTGTGCTCATCAAAGTTGTGATGTCGAAGAATTTGCTCAAACTTTTTGGTGTGATGCAGCCAGTTTTGTCTAGGTTTCCCGACTCGTTTCGTACCACAATCTATTCTAGATTCTAGATGCAGAGTTGGGGAGCAATGAGACCTGTCATCCAGTACATGCTGATGTTCTGGATTTCAATAGGTTTCACAAAGAATCCCCAAGTACAAACGCAGCGCATGTCCTACGCATCCTGACTTGAATCTATCCAATCAGAGGCTCTCGGAGGCTGGATCTGTATACCCCCGGCCTCCAGAGACTTCTTTGCTTGGCTCCAAGTCATACAACATGAAGACCTTCCTGTTCCGGTTGTGAACCTCAAAGAAAACACCCTTGCGCGACCAATGGTCCCATCCGGCTCACCGAAGAACCCTTCCAAACACTCGTCCTCATATGTGGGTAAGCCTTGATTGTCGAACAAAACCCCTTGATGGATTTTCATGGGTGAAAGCTTGTTTGGGGGTACTCCATGTTTTTCACATCTTCTGTTCTTCTGAGGGTGAGACTGACTTGACCTCCTTGATGAGTTGCAACTTGATCAGTTCTTTCGTTGCCTCCAGGAAAACCACCGGAAATCGACATGGAGTCTCAAGGAATTGCTCGTCATCATCGATTTCCCGAAAGGCCCAGTCTTCCTGTTACACCCCACATCGCTCTCACCTGCAAATGCAGAATGTCATGAAAGGTTATCGAGAACTTGTCACACTTGGGTTTCACGAGTGATGTGAACTTTCTGAATGGTCAAACTAGCGCATCGTCACAAACAACAAATGCACGTTCGTGTTCCTCACATCTCAGATCTTCCGCAAACCCCGGGTGCCTTGGTGATGGTATGCTGCTGCAATTTCGTCTGATCTTTGAGGCTTTTGCTCCAGGCACCTTTGTCCCCTGCCTTCTCGATCTGTTGATACACTTGCCTCCAACAGTCTGACCAAAGCATGCTGTGTCAGCCAGCGTATGCCGCAGAAAGCGACATCACCGATCACCTTTCAACCAAAAAAGCCCCAGAAACGACACAGCCTCAACTGTCAGTAACTGTGCTCGCCTCATCTGAGGGTCCAAGCGACATAGTTTCTCAGCCAGAATCTTGTCAACCGCTCTGACAATGAGGGGTTGAGCCTGGCTTTGACTGGAAATAGAAATGTTCGGTCCACACTTGTTGCCCTCAGTGAAGCCAGCCGTTGTTGATTCTTCTAAGAACTTGGGGATCGCACCACGTATCCCCACCTAATTTGATCGTGACGTGGTAAGGAAGACCCTCAAGATGTTGCTCGGCTAGGTTTCCTTATGGCTGCCGCAACAGATTCAACACTACAACCTGTGCTCGATGATAACACGATGGGCATACCAGGTACGCTGAGTCTGACCTCACCCAATCAATACACAACCGTCACCGTCACCATCCATCTTTGGTGTTTCAAGTGGCTTTGAGGGGCCATAACGAACAGAACCCGACCATGTGTCAACGAGATGTACCTTTGGTCGTATGTTGAAATAAATAAACATGCAAATAATGCTAGTCATAATGGAGGCATCACAAGCATCAGGAGCCTTGCTGCAAGAATGTTCAGACATGTTCAGACACCCCAACATCATTTGACCCAAGCAGCTTGTTGCATCACCCTGAGAAAGACCCTGTGCCAACCCTCTTGAACACCGACTGATTGGACTGGCAAAGCAAGCAACCCTCCAAAGGCCTCTGGAGTTTGAGTGCTCATCGTCCATGCCAATGTGTGTTTCCTATTTACAACTTCACAATCTTTCGATGGGTGATCCCTGAACCCAAATCAATCCTCAAACACCGAAGCCGTTGCATCCCGCCTGGAGAATCTCCAGGCGGTTCTGGGTCAGCAACTGGTTGGCCTCGAGAATGCTTGAGAGCTCTTTTTGGTGAGTCGGAGTCGAAGCAACAAAAAAAATGGCTTTTCAAAGCCAAATTCCATAAAGAAATCCAACAAGTCCCACAACTTCGCTATGCTTTGCAAGTGTCTCCCCCACAAACAGCGTTGCTCGAAAGTACGCTGAGGTGCCATATTGGTACGCAAGGTCTTGTCTGGCCACCCAGCTCGTTCCAGATCCTCCAGAGCGAGCGAGGCCCGGAGCGAGCTCAAACACAGATCCAGTCGGCTCAATATCTTGATATGAAAGAGTGCAATTGAAGAAAAACACACTCTTGTGACTCTTTCATCTGAGCCTACTTTGATCTTTAGCCTACTAACAGCTTCTTGTGACTTTGCCTACTTTGCTGCAAGCGAAGTAGTAAAATGCTCCTCCATTGTCACCTGAGGTCTTTCCGCGATGTAGTTGTACATCTCCTCCAAGTTTTGCACCTGGCCAAACAGCCAACAACGGTCAGTCATCAAACCCAATGACATCCAAAGACTGAGCAACAAAACTCTACTTTGGGGATGTTCACCTCTGGGGGCGCTTGGGTTTTGACCGGAACATCTCGCAGCCTATTGTGCTGCAACATCTGCCACTGCCACCTGCACCAACGCCATGGACGCCATTGACCTTCAGCGACACGCCGGACACCGTGGCAGTCCAGCGACACGCCGGACGCGTCCGTGGGCGCTTAAGGCGGCCAGGCTACATGGCAGAAAGCGAAAGTGCAAAGAGGTTTCATTTGTGGTTCATTGTGGTTCAGAGGTGGCTCTTGGCGTTGCAACCAGACAAGATCAGTCATGAAATGAAAAAGATGTCCAATGTTCAGATTCAAGCTGCTGCGCAGTGCAAAGTGTCACATGTCACGGTTGAAACCGGTTTTTTGGTGGATCTGGACACCCTGCATAGTCTCCTCCAACACACCTGGAAGAATGAAGAGTTTCTGTTTGAGAACCTGACGCCTATGGTATGGCAGAGATGTGTTTTCCGGCTGCATTGTCGATGCAGACCGGCTCATGCCATGTAATGTCAATGGTCTGGAGAGAAATGGCAGCAGGGCCATTGCTTGTATGGCAATGTACCGGGTGCGCAATGCTAGGATGAACAATTTTGAGCAGAAAAACACACTCGTGACTCATAACCACCAAAAACTCATTGAACTTGTTCTAATCGTTTGTATGTCGTGCTGAATAAGGTAGTCCACACAGAATCCCCTCAATTCTTGTGGGTATCATCAGTCAGTGCAAATCTTGTTGTTCAGCATCCAAAAAAAACCTATCCCACAGTTCAGTTGCAGCACTCTCCGAGTCAGCCCACATCCGTACTTTGCACTGTGGTTGGACCCGGTGCTTTGCCCAAAAACACCGACCAAATCTCCGTGGGTGTTTGGGCCGGAAAAGTGACCGTTGCAAACCAACCCAACTCATGGGGTGTGTTGGCCTCGTTCTCAACACCCCAAGATCAACAAAAGCTTCCGACTCACAGGTCGGATCTGTTTTTTTCATAACTTTTTTTCTATGGCTGGAGCAATGGGGTAGTGGAGCACAGTGGAGTACACGTGCCCCCACGCGTTTCACCTACATTGGCAGCTGCAAGACTTGTGATGTGCAATGCCAACTTCCAGTTTGGATTGAACAGAATGAACGCGCACGATTGCTGCACCCAAATAACGCTAGGAAGGTCCTCATTGCACATCAACTGTCTGTAATTCAGCCAAGGCCGACATGTGTCAAACTTGGCAATGCTATAGACATCTGCTCACTTTGGCCGCACGAGGCAACAAATATCAACCATGGCAGGCCAAACCTTACACAGCTCAAGCCGTTCTCAAGAGTGAAACTGGCCACTGGCCGACTGACCAAAGCAGCTCGGCTTTCACAGAATCATCACATGAATGGTAGTTTATACTGCCAGGGAGAGCCAAGGAAGTAGGGAGGGAGGGAGGGAGGGAGAGGAGGGGAGAGTCTGGGAGAAGTGAGTCACAAATTACAGCTGCGGCTGCTACAGTCCAGCCGTTCACGGTTACAATGTGTGCGTCTTGAGGGTTTTTTTCTCACCACTGTGGCTCCGGCGAACCCACCGATCGGGTGAAAGGAGTGCCTCCCATTCCGACACTGTCCAAAGTGGCAGAGATTCCCGTCATGAAACGAATGTGAATGCTGTCGGAGAGAAGGCTTGAAGCTTGGTGTGAAGTTTTGGGGTTTTTCAGCGAATCCACCCTCCGAGTTGACGCGAATGTCACCTTTCATGAAAGAAGGGCTGCTGCACCAAATCGCTATCGTGGTCCCAGGCAAATCCGAAAAACATGTTTCACGCACCGTGGTGCCAGCCTAGTCCAGCGGGCGGTCGGGACCTTTGGAGAGTGTTGCTCAGATTGAACAACATCATCAGCAGGGAGACTTTGGAGTACTTCATCCAAAATGGGGACGAATGATGAGATTGAGATGCCCTTGTTGTTGTTTGGACCACAAGAAGCTTTGCAGAAACTTGCCGCTTCAGGCCGTTTGTTTGTATTTTTCCCATTCTTCCAACGACTATATAATTGTACACATATATAATTTTCTGTAATGTTCGATTGCATGTCTACACTTTTGATGATGCAATGATGCATATTTTGAGAATCGGGTTTTGGGTGCCTGGACCGACCAAGGCTCCAGCCCAATCTCAGTTTCATGCCATGCCGGGGATCACCTGCCATGTTCACACCGCTCCAATCACTATCGAGCAAACATCCCAAAAATTCCCAGAACACCCCTTCGAATTCTGGTAAGCACTTCAACATGCTCCATGTAAATCGGGGTTTTCCAGTGGACTGCCGATCAGCACTAGTTGGAGAACGGTTCCCAAAGCAACCAAATGTTCGAGCCTCCAATGCATGCATGGTGAACCGTTTCAAATGTTCAACCCATTTCTGATATTTCTCATGCTCCAGGGCCATGTGGATCAGCTCTAGCCTCAAAAACCCTCCCGACCAAACGACTTCGCTTTCACCATCTCCAAACATGGTTTGCTCAAAATGTTGCTCCATGAATGACCAAGACCCAAATCAACAGACCAATCACTGGTCACTCAGACCTCTAGTGGTTTGCCCGATGCTTCAATTCGAGAAAAAACAAACTGCATAGAGGGCCAAGAATGGATGCCAACTCGGCGGCCATCGCATGGTGGGCTGGTGTATTTTGATGTATTTTGTTATAGTTTGTTCTTCTTGGAAGTCCAACCACTCGTGGCATTGCGTTTCTGACACACACCGTGGTCATCATCGTATATCTCTGATTAGCAGAGGTGGCCTTGACTTCTTGCCCGACCTCATTGCGAGGCAATGGCAAGGGGTGGAAGATTTTCCGCTCAGGGCTTGCTCCGGATCGTAGATGATCGTAGGGTGTCTTACAGAGAAATGTACCGGACAACCATGGAAAACCTCTACAGTATGTGAACAAAACGAATCTTCCTGTAGAACCTCCTGGAAACTCTTGGATTGCACATCACCCGGTCCAACCTTGCGGGAGAGGGCGGGGGGCACAGTGTCTAAGAAAGTGGGGTCAACACAATTTCATAATCAAATTTGATGTAAGTTTTTCTTACATTTATATTCGGCCTTATATACATGTGTGTTGTCCTCTTCGGTGTTTCTGGACACACCGGCTCCAGAAACTGTATATCGGTAGTGGGGGCATTCCTTGGATCATCGAGGCATGTATGCAAGGGAGTGAGTACACTCGTCTTGAAACATAAAGCCTTGTTACTAGTAGCTTCTTGCTACTAGATGCTACCAGTAGCGATGCACTTGTTACTAGTCCCATGCTCATAGCCTTGGCGCTTTTTCCCTTTGGTGGTGAAAAGTGGTTCCCGGTCCTTCCGGCGTTCGTTTTGGTCCGGCCATGCGTCGTCCAGTTAGGGGTATCAGTAAAGCCCGTCTCACAGGCCGAACATACAAGAAATTCCAAAAAGTTGAAGTAGCGTACACCGCACAGCTTCTATAAAGGTTCACCAGCACCAGCACCTTGGCCATTTGGCCTTCTTGACTAGAAACTGACTTGAGAAACTTCCCACATCCAACATGAAAGTGCAAGTATGCCAAGGGTATCGGTAAAAACGGTTCCACCATATTAGTTGTGCAGGTATATGCATCTTATGGCGACTGTCAAGTCTTCTCTCCCAGATTCCTGCCAAACCGTCCTCTGAACTGCACGCATTTGACGTTGGGAACATGAGAAGCACACAGTCGTGGAAAGAGTTGTTCCGTGGAACGCATTCCAGCATCTGAAATGAATCCGGAAAAAAAAAAAACTGCAGTCTACAGATGTCTACAGTGTACAGAAAAAGAAAACTCAACACGGCCAGAGTGGCAGGGTATTGTCTAGGACTCCGGTCGACTCCCACTTGCAGGTGCCACGGTTGGCTCACTGACTGCACGTGCCTCCATGGTGTGGCACAGGTTGGTTCTCTGTACTAGCTTCTTGTTAGGAGCGATGGCCTCCAACCTAATAGCGATGGCCTCCACCTACTATGTTTGAGTATGATTTGTTGACGAAAACAAAAAACAATTGAGTGATTGAGGTGCTCAAATCACCACTGATGGGTGGCCTACTCACCTTCAAAGCGCTTGGCTCAAATCCCAAGTAGTTTATACGGGCGGGCTGTTTAGACAGTCTTTCATATCATACCTGATAAAATCTGATAAGCATTCAGAATGAAAGTGTCCTGAACAGAACACAAATACACTGTACACAAAAAATAACGGGTGTATCGACATGTATTGACCTTTGTATGCAAATCGAAACTGCTGTAGCCCTAGCCACCAACCAAAAGAAAGGAAAACGTCGACCAAATGCCGACAATTTTCATCCAGCCGGATGAAACCACCCACCCACTCCTTGCCACCGGTGTGATTCTTAAATCTTTCAAGGGCTCCCTGAGCATGGACCCTCCAAACGCTTAGCGTTTGGACCTCCACCGGTGCAGTTGGCTTGACATCCGTTTCGTCGTTTGGGTCAGACGGGTCAGAGCCCCTAACCGCGTTGGTGAGCCTCGCCTCCAGTGGAGCAGCATCGGGAGGAGCGGGAGCAGTGCTGCTGGGAACAGCAGTGCCAGCACCACGTGACAGCCGCCAACCGCTCATGTAAACCTCAATCCATGCGGTTGGTTCGCATTCCAAAACGGCCTCAACGGTTTTAATCTCACAAAAAACACGTGGACCTGACCCATAACCCTGAATTGGCAGAGAACACGAATGATTTTTTTGTCGTGATATGTTTGAACATCCCCTCTCTTCCTATATAAATCGGTTTTACAAGGGTATTGCTGGACTGTACCAATCCCTTCAACGAGACCGAACGAAGCCACGACACCCTCCTCTCGAGCCACGCAGCAGTTAGGGCATCAACCACCAGCTGATCCAGGCCATCTCGGTAGCCTGGCGAGAACTTGGAGCGAGCTGAACCTCTGCAGATCTTCTCCCGAACCTCCGTGGTTTCGAAGGCATCACCGTGATGGATGAACATGATGGTGAAGTGATGGACGCAGCATCTGGGCGTCATTGACGTAGACTGCGCCATCTGAAGGGGCCCAAATCAATCCACCGACGCAACCAAATGGGTTGCCCCATCTCCACAGCCCACACCAAAAGAAGGAAACAGGTTCACAAATGTGGACAGGTTCAAAAGGAAGAAAACAGTTGAACAGGTTCCCATCCCAAAACCCAATGGCTTGCCCCATCTCCTCTGCATCAGTTTGATTGTGTGGCGATATGCAGATGTGGGTTAAAGCCTGCAAGGAACAAGGGGATAACTCGATCAGATTCTCGAAACGCATTGAGCTATCCTCGTGGTTCATTGAGTAATCATGACATGCTGGGTCCTCTCTATGTTCTTGGCTAATTGAATTTGACCCCCCGAAGAAAACCCACCTCAAAATGAATTGATACTCTCCCAAGCATCCCTGAGCGCCGAACAGCACCTGGACCGCCTGCCAGAGCTCTGGGTGGCTGGTCAGCTTCTGGCACTTGAGGCTCGTGGCTGGGAGCACCTAGAACAGCGAGGTGGTGTGGATCAAAGAGTTGGGATCCTCCAAACGGTGAAGTCCTTGAAAATCCTTTCGGACTGGCTACTAGTGGCTAGCGGCTAGTAGCCTGATTCCAAATATATATATATATATACAGTATATATATATATATGTACCCAAAAATCAAAAAACCTAAGCAACAAAAGCAGCAGCCTTTTGTCGTAGTGTTTTGAGAGATGCATGGGCCGTGGCAGCGACTGCTGCCTTCTTTTCCTCCTCCAAGTCCTTCTCCTTCTCGGCCTTGAGGTCAGCTGCAGCCAAACCCTGCATGGCCTGGTTCTTCCCGCTGGCTTTGGGCGGTCTTGTGGGCATCCTCCTCATACTCTGATGAGAGGATTTCCTGCCTGATGTGGATGCGGCAAGTTGTGGGGACCTCGTCCGCGAAGGCGCGCTCCTCCTCGGTGCAGGTGGCAGCAGGTGCCTGGGCATACTGGCTGCCATCGACAGAGTTGGCCCTCTTGTAGTCCTGTTCGACCTCAGTGGTGTCAACCGACGCCGCCACCGCAGAGGTGGACAGGGCCGGCGCCGAGCGGCGCCAAACAGGTCGGTCGTTCTCGTAGAACAAATGCCAAGTCTGGTCTCCCACTCCATCACCGAAGTTGGCCGCTGGTACTCCACACATTGGTCTCCTTTGCACATCCAGCAGCAAAGTGCCGCATCCGGCCAAGGCGTGTGGCAAGCCTTGCACATGGAGGTGAGTGGTGTTTCACCCGCGGGTCGGTGCAATCCCTTGTTGGCCTCAAGGCCAGACTTGTCATGTTGTTTCTGGTACTTCTTCTCCTGGTGGACAATCGCCCTCAAAGGCAAGTACTGCTCGATGATCCTTGTCACTAGGGGGTCGAGAGTGGATACCCCGCAAATTGGCCATCCTTTGCCCTGCTGAAGCCAAGGAGGGTTTTTGCCTTGGTTGAGGGCAGTCGCCATTCCGCAGGAGGAGGCCGTTTGGCCGGTCTTGGAGGCTCTGGAGCTTGGCTCTTGGCCGGCGGTGTCATCATACCTGGGTCCAGGAGGTCAGCAGCCGCCATGGGATCCGGCGCGCCTACACGAGAGCCCGCGCCGGCATCCCATGCGCTCACTGGCGTCATCATCCGCTGCAGGAGAGGCCGCCGCTGGTAGTTGAGGTTCAGCAGAAATGGGCCATTCCATCGGTGGTTCGGCCACCTCTAACATAGGGGCCGGTTCCGTCTCAGCCACGGGCACATCAGCCGCCGTAAGAGGCACCGGGAACTGAGGGGGCCTCTCCAGCTGCGGTGTCTGGCACTGGGATGTCCGTGCCCTTGTTGGCGTCCTCGATGTTTTGAAAATGAACCCGGAGTTCATCCATGTGCCGGGCGAGGTCCCGGATTTGGACTTGCATGTCCAAGTCTTCTACAATGACCGGCTTGCCAAAAAGGGAGAGGCCGGCAGCTGCCTCGTCCTCAGCGTGGCGGAGAGCTGTGGACGCCTCGTCCGCCTCCAGGTTGAGTCGATCCATGTCAGGGCTACTGACTGTAGCCGCATCTGTCACTTCCTCAGCCCCGTCGGCTGGTTGAGATTCGGTGAAAGTTTCGATCATCACGTACTCGGACTCCATAGGATGCGCCATTGCGATGGGCGTGAAGAATGAAAAGCCTATGGATCACGAGGTTCGCAAAATCACCGTTGGCAACTCACACGAGGTTGCCACCCAACTTGAGCCAAAATGTCCCGGTGGAACATTTTTAGCGAATTTTCGTGAACGTAAAAACTTGCAACCGCAAGCTCAATGCAAGTGTGAACAAATATACTCCTTGAATCTCCTTCAACACCTCCGTTCGCCGTGATCACTGAAGCCGAGTTGGGAAACTGCTGCACATGACTGTCATATACACATACGAAACCGAATGAACCATTTAATTATCCCGGCAAGAGACCCCAAACAGTGTGTGTGTGTGTGAGGTGTGAGGGGGTGTGAGTGTGAGTGAAAGTGGAGAGCGAGAGTGTGAGGGAGTGTGAGTGTCAGGGAGTGTGAGTGAGAGTCGGAGACCGAGTGAGTGCGAGTGTGGAGTGAGTGCGAGTGTGAAGTGAGAGTGAGTGTGGGTGAGAGTGAGAGTGAGTGTGAGTGAGAGTGGAAGAGTGAGTGAGAGTGAGAGTGGGAGAGTGAGTGTGAGTCTGAGTGTGAGTGTGAGTGTGAGTGTGAGTGTGAGTGAGTGTGAGTGAGTGAACCACGAAATCTGCACTTCGAGGTTCACCACCTGCTGTGCCTGCCGCGAAATCTGTACTTCGAGGTTCACCAAGTGCTGCACCTGCCACGAAATCTGCACATCGAGGGTCACAGAGTGCTGTGCCTGCCACTTCGAGGTTCACGAAGTGCTGCACCTGCCACGAAATCTGCACTTCGAGGCTCACCAAGTGCTGCGCCTGCTTCAAGGTTCACCAAATGCTGTGCCTGCCACGAAATCTGTCACCAAGTGCTGTGCCTGCCACGAAATCTGCAAACAAGCCACATGTCCAAAAGTCACGATTCAGTGCACCTGTCACGAAATCTGAGCTCCTCGACGATCACCACCATGTCCAAAGTGCTGCACCTGCCACGAAAACTGCATTTCGAAGTAAAACAGCTCCGATCCCTTGCGCCTGTCACGAAAAGTCGACTTTGGAGCACCAAAACACGAGGTTTCCCTTGCACCTGCCACGAAAATTGACCACCATGTACCAAAATGCGCACGGCACCACAACGAGAGCGCAGTCGCCAGAAGCACCTGCCACCGGCAGGCAGATTTTGCGAGCCTGCGCAGTCGAAGTGCACATTGACGATGTCGAGAGGCATGAATGTACTGTAAATAGCAACGAACTAGCCGGACATGCCCGCGCGGAACAGCGATCCAAGCACACGTTCTTTTCTCCTACCGTAAGAACCCCTCAGTGTGCCCACACTGTTTGGGGAAAAAACAGTATACATATACCACCCACTGCACATGTGTATCATACCACCCACATACCACCCACTGTGTCACATGTATACTGTCATGCACATGTCGATTGAGCATCCCACTGAAACCACCCACAGCATCTCCACGGATTCGCAGGAGCTGCGCCAGGAAACCAGGCATCGCGGTCCGGTCCGATGCACAGAGCCTCGGTCCGGACCCCATCGGTCCTTCGGTCCAGCAAATCCATCGGTCCAAAAGCCCATGTCGGTCGCTGAAGACCGATGAATCGGCCAAAATGATTGAAGAGCGATGGATCCATTCTGAAGACTAAAGCAAATCCATGTCAATCGATCGGTGAAAAATCCATCGGTCCAATCGGTTTTTGCAGCTTGGGCTTTGATTTCAGTCCCTGACTGAGACATGTCAGGTGTCCCTTCCCAGCTGACTCTTCTTCCCCTCCCGGCACTCTGTGTTTCACATGCTTGCTGAGAGGCGGCATCAGATCCTTCAGGGTTGGAGTGGTTTCGGTGGGCACCGGTCGGCACCCGGTCGGCCCATGGTCGTTTCGGTCGGATCTGAGAGCAGTTGGACCGAAGGTCTGCGCATCGACGCCTGAGTGTTCTTGGTCGTACGGCCTTGCCCTTTCTTTTGTCATTGCAGGTAGAGCTCAACTTTGACCCGGTCATTTCTGCCAAATATCGCCAAATGACTGAAAATATTGGGGTTGGTTCTTGTGACTGCAGGTATACAATACTGCGTACACAAGGGCCGCCTGCGCAAAGCTGTGCTCTTTTGCAACTAGTCATTACATGACTCTATGCAGTACATGTCTTTTGGACTGTGCCATGTATCAGGGTAACACAATGATGTCCGGTCCTTTAGAAAAAATCGGAAATCCAACCGGGCAGTTTGAGGCATAAAACAATGGGAGAGATACTGTAGGGAGCATCGATAGCTAGATAAATGGATGTACAGCCAAAAATTTCCCTGGATCCTAAATGAATTGAATGATGTGGATTGAATGGTGGTTCAAACCAGGGTATATAACCAGGGACTGGAACCCCCCAAATTGTAGTTAACCGCATTCACCTTGACCAATCCCAGTTCATGACCCACATCAGCGGATCGGCGTGGCCTGAAGCTCTTCAAGTTGACTGCCAGGGCCTCGTGAACATTTGTGCGAAAACAGTGAAGATCTGTTCGGGTGAGCCAACCACGGCTCTGCCATGGATACTTTGTTGTACTCAAACCAAGGACCGGCAGGTTCTGCTTGATACAGTCACTGATTTCTTTGTAGCATGGAGGTGTTGTCGTCTTGGACGAGGTGGGTGAGTTGCTGGGCGTCATTTTGTTGCGAAGTACAGGAACCCTCTCCAGCGAGACCTGAAGGTGGGAAATCCAATCTCTCAGTCACTGGGACTTTGAAACATTAGCCTTCAGTAGCTCAATGAGACTCGATAGTTTCGTGATGTGATTCAACCGATTCATTTTGTTCCTTGCCATTCATCAGTTAATCTATCTTTTTGGGCGTTGGCTAGCAGGGAGGGCAACGAGATCCCATTGACACACGACGCTGTCAGAAGTGACGTCGGCGTCGGCTTCAGGCCTCTTTCGCTGCAAGAAATCGCACACCAGACACAAACGATTAAACTTTGCAACACACATCCATGAAAGAACTCAACTTCCAACTTGCGAAACTGTAGACTGGACAGGATCGATGTGTTTTCCCAACCACCCAGTATGGTCACGAAAATGATCCAGAACCTGTGAAGCTCTGACTTCTCCCCTTTCCTCTCCGTTTTGTTTACATGATTGTTCGTTCAAAAAAAAAACACCCGTACCACCCCACTTGGTCCCTTGGTCCTCGCACGAGCTCGGCCACCACGTGCCAAACTCCGCGCCAGGCCGCCTGACATGAAGACCAACCAGGTAACCATCTTTTTTGGAGTCAAAGACTATAAAAAGAATGGCCCTTTAGGGATCCTTACGGTACAGTACCAGGTATTAGGATGTACTATAGTAGGTACCTGAAAGGGAACTTCCTTTACTACACTGAGGCAGTTCCCAAAGTCTTTCGACTTCTGGGGAATGGGTTCTGGACTGCAAAGTGAGGCAACGTGGGGTTTGGCCTACTCACGCCCTTCACGCCGACGCCTATCCGTGGCTGACCCAGAGGAAGACACGAAGAGAATGGCACGTGTCAAGTCAGTGGTCTTGATTGCAGTCCTGGGTGAGGAAGAAAGGTACTCGATGACTCCATAACAATTTGGTGTGTGTGTGACAAAGGCGTCAACATGCAACAACACACACATAGCTGTCCCATAGCCGTCCGGGCGCCGCCTACACTGCGCTGCTGTCCCACTTCCTGTACCGCCAAGCGGATCTTCGGCGGCACCTGGCGAAAAAGGCACTGGTGTGAGAGTGACCACTGCCGCAGAGGTTTGTTGGGTCTCAAAATGGGGTGAGTCTGAGAGTGCCGTGGAAGAAAGGAACACGAAGAAAGGACGTTTTTTTATACGTACATCGGTGGATGAGGTCCCCATGTTTGAAACACACAGTACACGAACAAAGACCTTAGCGGCTTTAGCGGCGGAAGTGGCCTGCTGAAATCAATGACCTATTTACATTGAGCCTATGTCCTTTAGATATCTTTTAGACATGAACAAATATGACAAACTATTCAATGCCATGAGCAGATTTAAAATGATTTAAAGATCTGTTGCCTTCCGCAGATATCTCAACTGCTTCCAATTCGGCTTCACCCCCTGCAGAACGTCCACGCGAAAGCGGCCCTGGGTGGGTTGCTTTGGATCCACACAGGTGCCAAAAGAAGCCCTCATGATATTTGGGGGATTTGAAGGGTCAAAAGACCTCAAAATGAACCTCGACTTCGGCTCGCGAAGTACCTCGGCTTTCTTGCAACACCCGGAGAGTGTGGGCAGCACAGAAAGGGTGTCCTCCCGGTCAACCGGGCCTTGTAGGGCAGCACATAGAAGGGCACGGGAACCAAACGGCTCAGAGGGTCGCGCATCGTGACCTGCTCAGCCGTTCGGGTCGCGGGCTCCCTTCCGGGTCGCACGATCCCGTCTCCAACCCGTCCGAAGATCTTCGGACCTGCCTCCAGCTCGGTGGGAACCAAAGTCCTGCGACCGGTGGGAAGAGACGCCGTGTCCAAAGTCCAAATGGATCCAAATGGTACGGTGCAGGGTATCACCGGTCGGGAGGTCTCCCCAAGTCATGGGTGAGAGACGGCTACGCCGTCCACTCTCCTGCTGTAAATCTCGTTTGCAAGCAGCATTGGCGTTACAAGCATGTTAAGCCGTAGCAAACTCCTCAGCTTCTGGTACAAAAAGAGTGCTGCATGCCTCAGCACGAGTCAAAGACCGCGTGAAAAAAGGCTGGACTTATCTTGACATGTAGCGGTGCAAAAGGCTACCAAAGAGACCTTGCACAAAAGGCCTTGTGGGACAAGCCCTCAAACACCCTCAAACAGCTCAGGCCACCGGAACCCACTGGGGCGCCCAACAGGAGCCGCCCGAAGGCGCCACGCCCTGCCAGCGTGGAAGTCGGGCATCACGCGTTCCCCAAACAAACATCAAACATCACGAGATTGCCAGATTGCTTCCTCCCAAAAAATGCGGTGACACGTGTTTGCAGGAACTTGCTGGATGCTGGCAACTTGTGGGACTCCGATTCCAGCCCACTCCAGCTCGGGTGACGGGTTGATTTTCAGCTGCATTTGCGAATAACACAGTTGTGACTGCTCACTGCTCTCCTTTCTGTTTCATGTCCAGCAGGCAGGGTGGTTTCTGAAGGCTGGAAGTCACGCATCCAGTCGAAGGCTGAGAATGGGCGTCTCGCTGTGGTCTCGCCTAGTTCCAGTGTCTTCACCAGCGCTTGAGAGCCCTCGCGGGACCGCGCGCGGGGTGCAAAGGCGATCAGTCACAAACATACAACGACGACAACAACAACAACCCTTGGTATGGAGAGACCAGTGTGTGTACGTGTGATACAGCAGCTTTTGGTATGTAGATGATGATAACCGGATAGTGATATTGATATGGTCTCAAAAAGGGAAGATAGCCTCTGAGGTGTTGGGTTGATCACGTATGTAAAAACCGATGAGTCAAAACGTATCAAGGTAGTGCCCGGTCTCTTGAAATATCTTGCAGATTCTTACAGTATGTATATAAGATTATACAACAAACACCAGCGCTGCACCCTGCCTCCAGGCCATAGGCTGCTTGCGAGGCTCCAGGCAGCTGGCGACCGAAAATGACAAAAAAAAAACTCCCAAGATCTCCCAACACAAAACAGAGACTCCTTGGGTAAATGATGGTAAATCAAATGGATGATCTATCAGGCTTGTATATTTATATATATATGTGGTGTGTATTGCGGGAAAACTGATTGTTTCCCTTCAACAATTGGAGCGACCTTAAAAGGTACTCACGGTTCTTTGAGAATTGAGGATTCAAATGAAAGCACCCAGGTACCCGGCCCAACTGATGATGGGCATGAAAATAATGTTCATCCTCATTACATTACAGCAGGACCACTGAGTGGAGCAGTGGGAACAAAAAAACAACTCTCTTGGCCTCTGCCACGGATTCAGCCACGCGCTGGCGGAATTCGAAAATGAAGCCTGTCATGAACACCGGTCACGACCCTCTAGCAGAAAAGAAGACATCAAAAAAATCACCGGAAACGCAAACAAAAAATGCCAGTCAGAGTTCCATCTGCACTGCAAAAGAGCATGGTTCATGACATCAAAATGTGTCATGTAAGCACATCCCGAGCTGTGGACTCTTCAGAGATGCCAACTTGCTCTCCGCAAATCCTTTGGCGTCACGTGCTGTTGTTCATCTAGTCTTCTCACCCCTGTCATGCAGTACAAAATTCCATCAACTGTTCAACTGACTGAGTGATGTTGGTCGCATCAACACTTTCTCAGTATTCGCCCCCGAAAATCTGTCCTTCAATGGGAGGATCGGGCTCCGCAGGACCTAACAACAAACGTGTTTCAGGCTCAACGAGGCCCACTTTTGCATGTTGAAATGGCACCGGTGCCAGCTCGTGCCGGTGCCGTGGAGTGGCTAGAAGACCCATTAGCAAACACAACCCACCAAGTGGGTACCGGATTGCAAAGTTAAAACACATGAAGTGTTGTTGTCACTGAACGCAAACTGGTGTGGCAGCGATGAGCCTTGCTAAGTGGGTGGCTGCTAGCCAGGTTAGTTACTGCAATAACGTTGTGCCAATGAATACCTTGATCAGGAAAAATTCCGTCCATCACAGAAACAGTAGCGCCCGAAGAAACTCAACATTGTTGGGGTTCTCTGTTAAGAAAAAGCCTGGCCACAGTCTGGCCGCGCGGGTGAACGCTGTGTCCGGATGTTGTCCTCCTGCTGACCTCTTTTGAACGCCTTTTGTCCTCTTGTCCTTCTTCTGGTGTGTAGCTTGGCCACGGCTGCCAGCCGGTCTCCAGACCTTGTCCTCCGGTTGCTCTTTTCCTCCTCTTCTCCTCTTGTCCTCTTCTTGTCCTCTTGTTCTCCTCCTGCTGTGGCCACGCCGGCGAGCCCTATGTCCGCCTTTTGTCCACTTCTTGTCCTCTTCTTGCGCACCTGTTGCCCTGCCCTTCTTCCGGCTTGGCACCGCAGCTAGCCCGTCTCCAGTCCTTGTCCCTTTTTTGTTGTATTCTGCCTGTCCTCTCTGTCCTCCTGCTGTCCTCTTGTTGACACCAGCCTAGCTGCGGCTGCCAGCCACCTGCTGTCCTCTTTTTGTCCTTTGTCTTTTCCTCCTCTTGTCCCCCTCTTGTCCTCCTGCTGGTGATGACAGCGTGGCAGCATGTAGACATGACACACTACACAGCTGCGAGGCTTGCCCTGTTGTTGTCTTCTTCTTGCGGTCCCTGTCCTCCTCATGTTCTTCTATTGCCTTCTTGTTGTCCTTCTTCAGGTGTTCATTGGCCGTGGCTGCCAGCCCATCTCCGATCGCACTCCTCACGCAGTCTTCTTGCCTCTCTTTCTCTTGTCCTCTCTTCCTCTTCTCCTCTTGTTCTCCTATTTCTTGTGCTCTCCTCATGTTGTCCTGTTGTCTTTTTGGCATTGCTTTCCGAGGCAGGGGCTGGGGCTGCGGCCGCCCACCACCACAGCAACAACAACCATTCTTGCCGACTAAGCTGCTTGGGGTCTATGCTGGTATAATTTTCTTGGGTATGGTCGGCGGTATGGTGTTCTCGTCCGCCCAGCCAAAGCTGTAGCTATGTTGGTGGACAATAGATGCTGGACCTTCGAATTACATCAATGTGTATAACCGCTCCACAAAATCCACAAACAACCCACTGCACACAAAGAAAAACCAACTGCCAGCTGCCAGTACAAACAAACTGTCTCTGCTACAGATCTTCTGGGTTCCAGGCCCGTCCCCTGGCAAAACAAGGGCAAATGGCCATGGAAATGTCTGTGGGTCAATGCCCTGCCCTGAACATGAACCGACGACGTTAAGCTACCAAGGTCGGCGTCCGGTTCGGGAACGAAAAGGTTGAGTTCGGAAGCTACCAGGCTCAACCGGGCTCTGCGTTTGGACAGCTCAGCCAGATACCAGACACACCAGTTCTGGCATATCTGGCCCATCGTTGGCTCAGCCATTTTGGGTCTCATGTCCTGCTCAGTGGAGCCAACCAACTTTCGCGTCCTTTCGCTGTTCAGCCACTGCCCCTTTTCTTCCAACCACCCAGAAAGGTTGGATTTCGCAGGCGCAGGTGCGGTCTCCAGATGGATCAACATGTTCCATGTCCAGATGGTCATCGGGGCACGGACATCGTCGCCAACTCATTGCCATTGTCATCGACAAAGATGCTCATCAGCTTCGCAACATGGTCATCGGTTTCATAACATGTTCATCAGCAATTCATTGAGGCATATTACCGCTTGCCTTGGAGTTCTTACCTGCATGCGCTGGGGGCCTCAGTGGGGCGAGCCTCAAAAACAAGGAGCATCAATTCAAAGACGTGGATTCAAGGCACCAAAACTCATTTCAGCATGTGTACTGAGTAGGCGGTGCACTGTAAACATCTCTATATCTTTAAACTTCATTAAAAAGCAGTGTTTTATTGACAGTTCAATCCCTCATTTACACTTGCGTGAAAAGAGGTGATTATTTGAATATATATTATAGATTACGAGTATTAAAATAGATACAAAACCAGCCTATGTCCAACATTCTATCACGAGGGGCCCTTTTCTAGACACAACCTGGGACACGACCCCGCGGTGACCGCCTCAGGCCAATGGCTAGAGCGAAGCTGCGTCGCAAGGTAGCCGCGTGGGTCGAGCTTCGCCTGCGTCGACCGTCGCACTTTTCGGAGACCGGCTTTTCGAGGAGAGGCCACCGTCATCGAGTGAAACGTGATCGACACGTCCGAAAAGGACGTTGGGATAGAAGATTGAAGTGATCCTACGTAGGTCGTCTCTGGGAAGACCCTGGGAATAATCTGGGACAATGCTCAGGTCATCCTGTTGCGTTTTTTTTGAATACTCCATGATTTCCATTCTATCGTACGTGTCCAAATATATAATTGAAACTCCAAACCTTTCTAGTTAGCTGGGTGAATCTCTCTGGCGACTACAGGCAGTTGCGGGGTACCTGCGCCAGTAGAAAAGCTAGCAGCTAGATCAAAACCCTGGGCTTGTCAAACGCAATGCTGACCTCAATCACCACTAGGTTTGGACGGGCTTTCACTCTTGCCAGCGAAATGCTCTGCTACTCATCCCCTTCTATAGCATATACAGTAATTGTAGAAAGCAGGTTGGAGGTGTTGCCTCATCAACCACAGCGATTGGACCACATCATCCTCCCCTTGGCCCGTGGCCCGTCCCACTCGCGTCCTCCTCGCGAACTTTGGCGAGGCGCAGCTCATCCAGCAACACTAACCTTGAACAGGTTGCTGGACAGCCCTGGTGAGAACATCGCAACATTTTGGCCGTACAGCAGTATCGCTTCTAGAATCTTCTAGAGACGTCCCCCATCCTCTCTCCCACGTGTGAAAAGCAAAGTGCACAAAGTGAATTCTTGTCAATGATTTCCGGGTTTTTAAATGATCAGAACAGGTTTCAGTGGATTTATGATGTTTCAGCATGTTTCAGCAGGATGCACATTGAACTTCTAAGCTAACCACTCCAAGCGTGCACGGAAGGCAAAGACCTCTCTCAGTTTGAACACGTGCTTTGTTCTTACATAGCACAAGGATATCCATGTTTGTAGGGCCTCCCCCTACTAGTGATGGCCTCCAACCTAAGAGCCATGGCCTCCACCTAGTAGCTTCTAGCTACTAGTAGCTTCTTGTTCCTAGTAGTAATGCCAGGAGCTGCTAGTAGCGTCCTTGCTCCTAATAGCGATGCCATGCGATGCCCTTGTTAGCAATAGCGGTGAACGGCGAATCCGGAAACTAGGCACGGCGAACGGGTCTGAATCGGATCGTTTCTGAATCGGGTCTGTGAAATACGAAGATGTCCACGCTACATCAAACAAACGTTTCATTAGATCCTCACCCCACCCCCCCCCCCCCCCCCCACCCCCCAGTGTCCGAATCGGGTGAGTGTCTGAATCGGGACACTCTGCAGCTTCAGACTCGCTTCAGTGTCTGAATCGTTCGTTCCCTGTATCGTTTTCAGTTCAGATGTCGCACCACATCGGACGGCATGCAGCACCGCGAAGCGGGACCCTCGCGGTGACGGCAGCGTTGACTCTCGGTCTCCATCTGACTCTCCTGGCCTTGGCAGTCGAAGACCTCGGTCATCCGGACGAGAGAGCGCAAACGTGTCGATGCGTCAATACTCGGGACATGATGTGGGGATGTTTACCTGCGATGGAGGAGAAATGAGGAGAAATGAAACATGTGTTCCTGATTCGATCCTGAATCCTAGTACATCCTAGTACCATAAATATCATATCTGTAGAAGCATAGTGATAGAATTGAGCCAAATCTGAGGGCCGTCTTCATCCACCAGCCATGACTGCAGTTGGCTCCGAGGTCGGCGCCAAGCGTGCCAAACTTCCAAGAGAAGCTGCCTGTCACTTGACTTTCACGTTCATTGAAGAAAACCCAAGAGTGGTGGCAAATGGTGGCAATGTGACGATGCGACGACGCCAGGAAACCATGTGTGCTTTGCGGTTCTGATCTGGTCATACAATGCTGTTTTCGTTGCTCAGCTGAGGCAGTCGGTCAATTGAAAACAAAAAGCAAGGCGACAGCAAACATATAAGATCTAGCAATATACAAACAAGGCCAACCAGAAAGACGAAGAAGCGCTGGAGCCGGACAAGAAGAACCTCGACCCGAAAGCACGAAGCTTGCGTGCTCTATGTCTCTGTATGTCTTTTTGATTCTTGTTGGGTTTCTGCCAAGTCAAAAGACATCAAAAGACTCAACATTACAAAGCTAAGTTCCTCATCGAGAAATTGGGCCGAGACCAAACACTTGGGCAGAAGAAGACCACTGTGGAACCCAAACTGCATGATGTGCACGTCGTCGAATGACATCGTGGTCGCCAGTCATGGTCGCGCCCCTGGTCGCGCCTCTGGTCCAAGGACTGAAGACGACGCTTCCAAAGATCCAGCTGGGCCTAGCGACTCATCCACACCGCCGAAACGACCCCAGTCACATCGCAGCGAAACGTCCGACGCATGGGGGGCAAAGAAGGTTGGGAGCCCAAGCAAGTAACGAGGAGTCCGAGGCTATTCTGTTCAACAGTTCAACTGGGTGTTCAAGAGTTCAACTGGGTGCGAACGAGGGTTATCCCACCCAATGAGGCCGGAAAACGCTCGATAGAAAAAGGATGAAAAAGGTCAATCTGGAGGACAGGTTGGTTCGAAGGAATGCCTGGAATGCCTCACTCGAAGTCGAAGTACTGTATATATGCTGAGCCAAAAATACTGGTGCAGGACAAAAATTAGTATGTAGTCTGAGTCTGAGGGAAAAAGGTATTGGACTCCCAGCATTGGCAGGGGTATGGGTTTCTTGGTGGTCCTCTAATGGTTGTCCAATGCCCCTCCCTCTACTAAATGATATTACAGTAAATGTGTGTGCAATTGTGCACACACTTCTGTATGAATGTTGCTTTACATACAGTAAGTGTTTGTATAATTTTCTCGGTTGCAACAATGAGTCTGCGCGCTGCAATCCTATGCACTCAAAGCGCAGGATCCTCAGCATCTTACACAATGACCTATTCTTGCAGAATAATCATGATTTAAGTGACACTCATGAGGATGAGGATGCTATTAGGATAACTTAGTAAGGATCTTCGGATCATTCACTTCTCAAAGGCCTGGCACCCAACCGGTACCTTCCGATGGCCTGGCTGCAGCGGCTTCGCACCTGAGAGTCCTCGCCATGTGGTGACGACCATTGGACTCTCCAACGAGAGGTGGTGATGCTTGGTGGTAGGCTTTCCAAGATGGTAGGCTTTTTCATCATCTTCCCATGTCCTGGGAAGGCTTTTGGAGGACTGCTTAGGTGGAATGGCCCAGTTTTTCGGACCGCTTCCCAGGCGGACTGCGGTGGGGCCGGGAGAAGTCCACCAGGGAGCACGGGCGGGTCCCACAGGGGGCCTCCGGTGGGCCTGTCCTCCGGCAAACGACGAAGAGGATCTGGAACGCCAGGATGCTCCTGCCGGAGGAGCACTCATGGCTGAACCTCCACCTCGCATGGTCATAAGCTTGATAAATTTGCGATGAAAGACTTTTGCTATCTTTCGCTTAGCGGGATGTAAAAGGATGGCTTCGACATCGTCGTTTGCCCGTTTGCCCGGCCTGTAGCTCATCCTCTTGTGGAAGCATGGAAGGAAGCCTGACCCGCAGCTCCTGCATCTCCCTCCCTCCCTCTCCCTCCCTCTCCCTCCCTCTCTCTCTCTCTCCCTCTCCTTCAACAACTCATGAGGCAAAAAAAAACACCAGCATTCAATCTCACAAAAAACATCCATGAAAGAAACATATGTGGGCGCATATTGCGCATATCCAAAAAAAAGGAGAGACGAGACCCCTTGCCCTCATGAGTTCGGTTTGGGTCATATCTCGGGTCGTCTCTGTCTCGGGTCCTTGGGTTGAAACTCCTGGGTCCACAGCAAGGCGAGGCGAGTCGTTCGGATGGAGGGTGGAGGTCGTTGGGTCGTTCGGCCGCGGACAGGGCGCCCCCATTTGCCCCAAGGCCCCAGGGTCGGCTTCGTTCATAGCTTGTCCTTGTCTGGAGCCTGGAGCCTGGCCTGGAAATTTGCTTAAAACTTGAAACCGAACCTATGCCTGGAATTTTGAACCTCATACAACCTGTTGAAAGCCGTTGATCTCCAAAATAATCGTAGTTTCAATGTACTGTGAAGAGTCACCACTACCACAAAAAAAAGCATCAACAAGGTGCTTTTGGGGTTCTAAGTTGCCAGGTGTTTACTTCAAAAAATCTTCGACAGAACAAAAACTCCGCTTCGATTTTCGAAAAAGACCTTCAGCTCGCTCCTCGCTTGGAACGCTTGGAAGGCCAACAGAACGGTCCTGGCGCAAAAAATCAACAAACCGGTCCTGGTCACCAGGACGGCGTTGGTTTATGCCCTCGCGAAGAAGGAAGTCTCGGCAAGATAACCCAGTGTCTCGGCACTTCGAATGTATGGCCCTGCCACAGCTCAATTTAACACTGTGCAACGGCGGTCCTTTTCTGCGGGCGTGCGGGGCTTGCTTGGCCAGTTTGGGCTCACATATACCCTCTGTGATTTCACCCACCTCCCAGCACAAATGAAGGATGCTTGTTGGTCACCAAAAATGAATCTCTCACCAGATCTTGACCTATCTATATTGGCAACCTGATCTATTTTGAAGATCGATTGGTCACCTGATCGGCGACCACATCGGCAACCTTCTTGAAACCACCGTATGGATGAGTGCCCTCCCACGTCCGTCCTGCCACATCTCCAGTCCCTCCGGCCAAGAGTGCCGAAGCTGGCCTTCCTGCGGGAAAACATCGCAACAGAATGGGAAAGAATGGGAACCATTATAACTAACCATAGAATGCTTATCATTGTAGGTTTTAGATATTTTTATCGCTTTTCCCCAAGATGACACAAATGACCCAAGAATACGTCTGATCAGTTGAGGGGATCATTGACTAGTAACAGGTCTTAACATGTCTGAACCAGTGCTCTAGATGAATCATGATAAATAAATACTATAAATCACAGTCGGCACTTGTATGCTCGCTAAGGAGTTAAGAATGTTAAGATGAGTTATATAACTGCAGTGCACTGCAGTGTTCTTTGTTTGCAAACAACTTATGACAACTTGCATGAGCCGACTCTGGAGCGACTTGGCCTCAGTCTGGAGACTGGGGCACTGCGCAAGACTCAGTGCTGGGATCCCCTCACACAGGGTCAGATATCAAACCACCTTGCCCCTGGTGGGCATCCGACAAAAAGAAGCCGAGGATGTGCATGTCGTTTTCAATTGGAAAGACACCCAAGCCAGTTCAAAAGCAAAAGAAAATTGACAAAGTACCGTTTAAAAGGAAAAAACACGTTTCTGCCATCGGCTCCTCTGGATGCCACGTGCGCTCCAGAGGTTCCTTGGAGAACTCAGATGAAGCCAGGAAACCCCGTGTCCGATACAATGCCGTGACATGTTTGTGGGTCCTCCGAGCTTGAGTCCACTGCTTTGAAGAGACAAAATATCCAGTACATTGATGTTATACTTGTCGATGTTTGTCTGTATGATATATATTGTTCATTGTTGTTCCATATCATTGAATGCTTTCACTCGCACTGTTGCTACAAGCCTCTAGCACTACAAACCCTCTTGTTCCTGGACCTCGGCAACATGGTCTCCCACATGCACACCAACAACTTCCACCCTCGGCCGTGGACGCTGGAACTCGACACGGGCTCCTGGCGGTTGGGTGGCCATGCGCCCAGGAAAAGCGGAGAACCTCCAAGGATGATCTTTTTGAAGACATTGGATATGATATCAGTCTAGTTCAAAGGCGGCAAAGGTTGCAAAAGGGATCAAAAGGGTAGCTGAACACGGCTTTCACCAGGCAAAACACAAACATATCCGCCCACCCCATCTTGAAGCCAAACCGGCGTGCCGCTGTGGACGCCGACTCCGCTCGCTCCGCTCCTGGGGCAGCAGACTCCGGGACACTCGGGCCGCTGGTTCGGTGAGGGGCTCGGCCACCCGCTGCTCGCCGCGCACGGGACCTCGAGGCTGTGAGAGCGTCGAGTTCAAAGCCATGGCCGCGGCCATGGCCTCCACGCTAGCAGGTTGGAGGCCATCGCTATTAGGTTGGAGGTCATCACTCTAGCTTCGATTCCATCGCTAGTAGGTTGGAGGCGACATCAGCGGACTAGACTAGAGCCCTCTTCGTGTCATGAAGCTTGGCATGGCTTGGCCAGTTCATTGGCTCTCAAACAGTTTATTAAAATGGAAAGTTCAAAGATTTCTCAACTGGGTGACGATGTTCACGGCTCACAAGGGAACTACAGTGGATCGAGGACCAATGAGGACTGTATATTTTGAGTAGGTTCCGTTAAGTTCCCCTCTAGAAGCCTATGAAGTCCATAAACAAAACTTAGGGTTAGTCCATCAACCTTAGTATCCATTTTGAGCGGCTCAGTCAGACTTGAATGCCTGATTTCTGAAAGGTGTTGGCTCCTCGGATGTGTTGGGGAACTCTGGCTTTCACCGCAGGTAAACGGCGGCGGTCCAATTGGGATGTGGGCTACATGGTGGATGCATCTCCCTGGTCAATTTGCTGGTGAAAATGGTGATAACATGTGATAACACCAAAATCGAGCGACCGGTATGCCCGAACAAGTCCCTCGCATCCGTATGTCCACGCTTCCAGGTCACCCGGCTGCGCACGTTGACGGAGCGTGGCTCAGAGGTGGCGCGGGGGGGGCACCGCGCGCCGAAGAGGACGACCGTCCAGGTCCACCTGCGCACCCGGTCCGTGGCACCCATCCACTTCTTGTTCCTAATAGCTTCTTGCTCCTAGTAGTACGGCCAGGAGCCCCTAGTAGCTGCTTGTTCTGCTCGGTCAATTTCTGCAGATCGAATAAATATGAATAAATGGTTTTCGTGGGTTCCGAGAGCGATGTTAGAACAGTGAAGGGGTTCAACTTTGTAATTTTTGGACGTGAAATGGTGTAAAGTCGTTTCGCATGGCTGGAGATCATGGTTGTTGAATGTGAGGAATTGCTTAGTGGGTTCCGTAAGCAGCATTCGACGGCAAGGGGTTCCGTTGGATGGTTTTGTCTTTTGGCATACCTGCTGCCCGCTGCGTTCGACCGAAGGGGGAGCAACATGAGCCGCCGAATGTATCCGAATGTCGTTGGAGTCGTTGGAGTCGGAAGGATTCGTCAGCAGTGTGTCCACAACCCAAGGACCGACACTGCTGAGGCAACGCACGAAACAACGCGAGGACCTTGTCAGCTTCAACAAGCTGTCAAGGCCTTTGATATTGACCATCGGGTCAACAAGCTGTGACGCTCGATCGTACTGAAATTGTTCGGAAGATCTCACGAATCGGTGCTGTGATGTTGCTGTTGCCAAGCTGGGATCGAATAGCCATTTGGAAGGCTTCGAGAACCATGCTGAGCGACTGGGAGCAGTTGTGTTCCGAAAGCAACGTTGATCCGCGAAGGGGCTCGTTTGTCATCCGCAGTGTCATCAGCTAGTCGGGGCATAATTTTGCGCCGGAAGTAGATGGCTAAGGCGCTGGCGCGGGGGTTCGCTAATTGTTTGCAAGCTGTTGAGTGGAAGACCTCTGTCTTTTGGCATACATGCTGCCACGCGGAAGGGGAGCGACATGAGGCCAGATCGAAGGTAAGGAATTGTCTTAATCAATTCCGAAAGCAACATTAGACCCTGGCCTTTCGAACTTTGTGTGTTTTGACCACAAATAGATGGCATACAGCTGTTTCAAAGGGTTTCGAGATGCATGGCTGCAGATTCAACTGTGTGGCTCCAGTTTTCACCACAGTTTCGAGCCTGGCGGCCCAAGCGCAGCCGGCCAGGCGAGTCTGCACGAGGGACAGAGTCTGGAACCCCCCCACGCCATCCCAGGCCCCCAAAAGAGTCCCCAAAACCTGGCCATCAAGATCCTAATTACGGTAGTAGTCACTCATCCCATTCTCCTCACCGTACCCTCTCGGAGTAGAAAAATCACTCGGTGGAGCACTCGGAATCCACAAACATTGACTATAACCAAAAAGTCCCAAAAGATCCTAATTACGGTAGTAGTTCTGCACAGGTTCACACTCTTCACTCGCTCATACGGTAGGTGCAGGCTAGTTGGACCACAGCAATCCTTGATACTTGATCCACAGAAAAAGGCTCTACGCCGATTGACCCTGACTTTGTCTTGGCTAAAGTTGAAATGTCACAATCGAAGCCACTATGACCATACTCAAAATTCCTAACATTGAAAAGTAGCTCGTGGGCACAGACCTTCTGTGAGCAAAGCTGCCCGCTGCTGGTCTTGTGACAAAGAGCTTGCTCACTGCGAAAAGAAATTCCACGGCCAAAAGTGCATAATAGTAAAATCACAACTAGTCAAAAAGTGTCCAGCAAATATGCAATGGAAGAGCTCCCCCTTCAGACCAGTTTCCTGTACAAAGGCTATATATAAGTTTGTCCATTCTATGAGCATTCTATCTTAGCCAGAGGGAGGGGTATGCAATGGAAGAAAAATGTTTGTGCGCGCACACAACGCCTTTGCTTCACAAATACGGCCAGTGCAGGAAGGCTTGCGCAAGATGTTTTTGTTGGTCTGGGGCGGTCTATCAGATTTGGAGGGGAACACCTGTGGACACATAGATGTTCGGCCAATCTCTCAACAAGCACTCCATTTGCCAAGCCTGTGAATGCACCCAAGTGTCCTAAGTGTGCTAAGGAGATGCTGAGCTCTGGATTAACACTGGCTCCAAAGAATCAATCTCCATCACCTTCCATCATCTTCCAGGGGTGGCTTCCAAAAATACAGCCTGCGTGCTTCTATTGGGCACACAGTCAAGAGAAAGATGAAAAAGGAGCTCGGTCGCCGACGTCGTGCCGCAAAGGACTCGGGTCGCAGCTGGGCCTGAGCATGGCGTGTGGTTCATGAGGCCCCCCCGGTGGCCTGACCCGTGATCACCGTGATCACCCAAGCACGGTTGGGGAGCAGAAATCCGAGAGAAGAGCAGAAATGAGATGTCACATGGATAATGATGGATACATGAGTAAAGAGGTAGATTAGATTAGCTATGATTAGCTGGACACCAAGACAAGATACCATCTACCCCACCTTCGCCTACCGTCAAACGACGGAAGGCCTTACAGCCGGAAGGCTCGGTGCGACAAAGAGTCGTCGGGATGCCCAAAATGCTTCTGATTCCTAGTAGCAACGTTCGTCGCGATGCCCAAAATGCTCCGTTCGTAGCGCCCTCGTTCCCGGCCGCCCCTGGCCGCCCTGGCCCCTGCGGACAGTTCTTGAAGCTGTCGTCTGGCCTGCGGATCGAAGAACCAGGGAGTGAGGATTCTTCGCAAGAACGCTGTGAGACCCCACGAGTCCCACGTTCTTGTAGAACCAAGAGGTTATGAGGTGAGGCTCGACTGCAAGTCGGCCATACCAGGATGAATTCATGCTTGGAAACCATCTTCAGCAAGGTGCCTTCTCTCCGACTGAGTCTGTGAAGTGAAAAGCTGCAGTTTTCTGATGTTGTTTGTACGGCAACGCTCCTTGACATAATCATGGAAGTTGGAAACCACCTGTCAAAGAAAAATGGTCCTCCTTCTCCGCTTCCATGATTACTTCAGGAAGTGTAGGGGCTGTTGGACATCAGGGGCAGAAGCTTGAGAGGGCAAGAATCTGATCTCGCCTATGTTGTAACTGGTCAACCGCTTCCAAGTCTCAAAATTCTGGGACGACCCGAAATACCCTGTTGGTAGGGAAGGCTGTCAAGCAAAACCACCAAACAGGTTTGAGGATGGACAAAAACAGGAAACAGCCTGGCTTGGCATCGGCAAAAAAAATCCTTCCAGAAGGTGATGGCCTGGTGCCAGGACGCCTCAGCCTGCAATCGAATTCCGAGGATCGTCGCTGAAAGAAATATCTTTGACTTGGACAACCCAACGCCGAACCCCAGCTGATTCACCCATGAATACAAATCGCCTGTGGGAGGATGGTCACCGTGCTGAATCATGTTTTGCATGGTAGGTCTCAACACGGTGCAAAACATGTCACCTAGGCCGGCTCAAGAAGCTAAAGCAGGTCTTTGATGTCTGAGAAATGATATCATGGCAACGTGAGCTTGTGGCGCTTCGCGAGGAAATCTTGCAAAGGGCCATCACACTCGCTCTCAAAAAACACACAGGTTGGATCAAGGTCAAAGGGGTTACATCAGAAAGGACGCCACGATCATCGCCTTGACACAACCAAGAAAGACAGGAGTGTTCACCATATGGTCCACACGAGGAGGAGGGCAAACCTAGCTTAAAACGATGAATGGTCTTGTTCAATCTTGTTCAGTACAGTTAATTCAGTGGCAGGTTCCAATCAGAATGGTTCACCTCCATCAGGCAGGGTAATTCGTATCGCAGGTGCGCGCACACCAAATTGGATACAATGGTTTTGCAAACTCACTCAAAGGACAGGTTGTAGCAAAAGGAACAAAGCACGTGGAACATTTCTAGTCGTTGTTGTCCAGCTCTTTGCCACAGTGTCAACTTGCACTCGGCCACGGTTTGGTCAATGATGGATTTGGCAACACCAAAGGGGGATGCTTCACAACACGCAAACGTTGAATTGGTTCTCAAAACATCTCAAAACCACACTCTTGGGTCCTGTCGAACGACGTGTTTCACAAACCGCTAGGTTAGGTTGAAATCGTTTGAAATCCATACCCTTCTACACATAGGTTCCCATTGGGGGTCACAAACCTCCAGCCGTAGGACCAAGTGTTGACGTGTTTTCGCCGAATGACACCGAGCCGTTCCCGTGCCCGGCCAACCGGTCAACCGTCCAGCCGGCCAACCGCAAGGAACCACGCAAGCAACGGTCAGTGCTAGGAAATGCATGGACATGTGAAAACAACACGAACATGAATTGCGTGACAACATGAACATGCGACTCCAAAAAATGGCGCGCTGTAAGTGTATGTCCTTTGTTTTTTGCGAACCTTCATCAAAACAGGGTAGGTATATAATGGTATATATATACATATATATCGGGCACGACGGCAACACCAAATATGTAATCAAATATTGACCATACACGCATTTAAAGCAAACAAGTCACTCAAAGTCGCGTCACCATCGTCGTGTCGGAAGAGAAATCGTGGTATACTCTTCGAAAGTAAAGTGAAGGGGCTAGTCTTGCTGAGTTCCAACAATCCTGCCTTGACTTTGTGCTTTGCAGCCTGAGGGCAGGTCGTGGCATTGAATACAAATCCAAGCCTCATTCCAGTTTTTGAAGTCCGTCTCAGCGGCACTTAACTTACATGTAACATAAATTGGTCTTTGGCGCAAGTCCGAACCTGCTCCAATGCCTGCTCCAGCACACCTTCCCTCAAGCCTGGGGAATTCAGAACACTCCACGCAATGACCACATCCGGGGCCAACGACCCAGTTGCCTCTGGGTTGAACGATAAAAGTACCAGCTATTCCAAGCGACGTCAGTCACTGAGTTTGCAAAGCACCGCACCCTCAAATGATATGAATTCTCTGTCTTGGGCTGCGGCCAGCGGCTCTCAACTCCATTGCAAGCCTTAAGTCTCCAAAGCAAAACAAGAGCTTCAACGGGAACAACCAACACTCACTGGACAAACGGTGTCCGTTGGGTCAAACCTCACTAAAATCCCTACTCCAATGCGCAGCACTTGCAGTGCGTCCGGGCGCCCGTCGGTAAGGGATCTGCCCGATCGGGTTCCATCCGGGTCCCGGCCCGATCGGTGCCATCGCAGTGCGTGGCCGGTTCGCAGACCCAGTCACCCAGTCAACGTCCAAACACTTCGGAGGACTAGGTTGACTGGACTGGGTCACACACTGAGTTGCTTCTTTGTCCCGTTGCGCAAGGTGTCCTCGGCACTGCCTTGGTAGAAGCAAGCCTTGACTAATCTAACCTCAATTTAGAAACAATCAGTTGCTATGCTTTTTGTGCGCCATAGGGTGAATGCATCACTGTGTGGTATGTGTGATCTACAGCTGGTGCTCAAAATGTGGCAGTTTGCGACTCAACATTAATGCAACGGTGATGTCAAAACAAGTACGTAAATAAACTCTCTCTCTCGTGGGCCTTTCTCCACCATCGTGTGTGTGTTCACCCAATAGCGTTTGAAAGGTGATACAAGCGAGTCCTGAGCACACTTTTAAGATTTGTTGTCTTGTTTAATGTTGTTTGCTTACTTTCTTGAAGCCAAGACCAAATCGGAATGGGTTTGCCGCACAGCTCTGCTTCAGCCGAAGATACACCAACTCACGATCCAGGCGCATGATCTCAGCATCACGGTCCGCCACCTGCTAAGAGCAAGACTTAAGACTGGAGAATAGAAAGATCAAACCACACCACCCGAGCTTGGCAGCAAAAGCCTGAATCCCTTTTCCCTCTTCTGGAAGAAGGCACTTTAAACTTGGCTCAATGCCGACCAGTTTGTTGCTTTCCCAAGGGGCTATTGGATTTGCCGGCGCCTCTGGCATTCCTATTTCTATCATCTTCTATCAACACTTCTATTAACTGATCACATCCTATCATCTACAGTGAACCCGAAACTGGGGGCATGAGAAGGGACCAAATCTGCCCTGGCAACGCGCGCCAATGGGCCAAACAGCTGATTTGGCGATGTTCTAACTCCAGTTTGGGGGGTGGAGTCGGGATAGGCAGGGCGTTTTCAGTTGCACGAGACAAACTGCCACACATAGACTGCTGCAAGCATCACTAGACATTAGGTGGTGATTGCTGTCGTCATGCTATACATTTGCGATTGTTGCTGTTGTCATGAAGCCTTTAAATTGCTGCTGTTGATGCCGTTGATTGGCTTGCCATGGGACGACATTGTGTCTTTCTATGGCCATGGTGGCTTCCTATGGCCATTGTGGCCGGTCATTGCTATGGCCATTGTGGGCGGCCATTCCCATCTGTTGGGTCCTGCGGATCTCGCCTGCTCCTCAGCCCGGCGCGCTCGGGCAGAGGCCAGTTGCTGAGTATGGCTGAGCTCCTCGAGGAATCAGGAAGCTGAAGGGCTGACGAAAGAATACTATATTTTGACATAGCCACGGTTCCTGAAGCAGTTCTGGGCCATATTTGCCGTAGCCAGTGAGGAATATCCCAGCATATCCTATCTTTGTCATGGTGCTGATGATGTTCATGATGTTCATCGCTGGGCATGTTGAGGAATGTATATGGTTGGTTTCCAAAATGTTTTTCCTAAAATGGTGCACTCATCGCAATTCCATGGGGGCCCGCTTCTAAGTCTCTTTTAAACTCCAACCACACTCAACCCACAGGGATGTTCAATATGAAGGCATGTCAACTGCAAAAACTGTAAGAAGTGTCTAGCGCGGACCTTTTTAGGGGCCTGTTGAGCTGCTGGAGCTGTTGTTGTTGTTGCTGCTACTGCTGCTGCTAGACTTCTGCAGTTGTTTCCAGTTCTCAGAAGTTTTCAGAACGACATAGGAAGGATGTAAGAGCTGACTCAAACCATTTAGGTGTTGGATGGGCAAATGGTCAAGAAATGGACCGTCGTCTAGCGCGGTGCTAGCGCGGATCTAGCGCCAGCCTAGCGCAAAAATCTCCGTCGATTTCTTCATCCTGTCAGGTTCTCAGTTTTCCTGCTTGCTTGTCTTCTTCTTGTTGTGCATTCTTCTTCTTCTCCTTCTTTGTGTTTCCTTTTTCTTGTCTTGATTAGTCTTTTTCCTGCTCTCTGCTTGTTTCTTCTTTGCTTATCCTGTTGTGAAGAAACCTAGCGCCAACCTAGCGCTGCCTTGCTGTATCACCATAGTCTGCTGGGGGCCCGCTTCTAAACGAAGACTTAAAACACATCTCCAACCCTAAAAAGTTTACGTTTATCTATATTTTTTTGAGTAGGCCTTTTTGAGCGCAGTCCATATAGACTGGCGCTGTATTCGCCTTACAAGGTGAAAGGTGAACATTTGCTGTTAAATCCTCCGGTAGATCCTTCTGGAGGGGGGAACGAAGCCCTTGAAAGAGGGGGGCACCCTGCGCCTGGCCGTGCGTGTTTCGCTGCACACCAAAATGCACGGCCCAAGGTGTTCACCGGTTGTCCCACCTCTGCCACCTTCTCATCACTTCGACGAAGTGCCTCTCGACGAGCCACCTGCCATGTGGCTCAAAACCGAAGCGACCCGCAAAAATGGACGGCCTGCGCAAGGCTTCTGGACAAGTTGATGTTGATCCACCTCCACTCCATGTGGGTCAACATGCAGAATAGATCCTCTCTTATGTTCCCTCAACACTCCTGCCCCGCAGCTAGTCAAGTAGAGTTTAGAATTCCACTTCCTTGTTGCAAACAACTCGACAGAGAAGCGCCACGCCTCTCCTTGCAACTTGACATCATCAAGTTCCTTCCTAGCCTCAATCGACTCCCTCTCTTTCAAGCTCTTTAGACGAAAAATGACGAAAGGAAAGCTTTAAAACAATACTAAAACCAAAACAGAATGCAAAGGGTTCGTTCTTCGGTGCATCCCCACCCGGCACTGTTTCCGCCCCCTTGGCCGCCCAAGCGAAGCTCAACGACTCCCTGGCCCGGTGCAACTCGCCCTCGGTCTCACGGAGCTTGCTGCGCTCCTCGGGTCTCGCGGTGAGGGGTCCCGTGGAGTAGGCGCCTACCCCCCGGTCCGGGCCCGGTCCCCCCTGTGTCACCCCCTACTGGGCGCCGACTGGATAGCTAGTAGGCGCCTACTGGTAGCTAGTAGCTTCAGCTATTGCGCATGGACGCAGGATAGCTCACGCTTCTTTCTATTCATTTGGTTCCTAGAATCTATGAGTCTTATGAGTCTTAGAGCCCAAGTCTCTGCCAGCAACGAGGCTTGCAACTCTTGCAAGCGCTTCTGTAGCTCTGAGGCCTGCTACGGCAGTGTCGGAGTGTACCCAAAGTCAAACAAATGGTGTATTTTTTGAAAGAATGGACAGCCGCTGTCCAGCTGTCCCTTCCATCTCTTGTTTTCACAAATGATGCAAATATCCGTCACTTCTTCTGCTTCAATCAAAACAACATTTCGAGCGCCTTCTCAGTCGAGCTGTCTTCTCGCTTTTGCACTTTCTCTACCGTGAGCCCGCGCTCATCGGCCAAGGTCTGCAGCCGCAAGACGTCCTCAGTCCGCCGGTCGTGCGGGTCAGCGGACGTCGGTCGAGGAATGTCGAGGAGGTCGTTTCTCAGGAGGTCGGGACGGTCGGGGTCGACCTCCGTGGACGACTTCACCTTATAGAAATCCGGCCGAAACGTTCTTCATCTTCTCGAAACCGTCCTGCCGAAGCCGATGTTCTTCTTGCAGATGATGCTGCACCTGCGGAGAACAGCACGACAGAGCCTACCCCAAATCAAAAAGGTCATTGACACTGCATCTGCCTGCGCTTCGAGGATGGAGGCCTTTTCCTGCAAGGCAAGAAAAATCAGTCACACTCATACTTACAACACCTCAAAGCACTTAAAATCACTGTTATGACCCTCCAACCCACCACGGCCAAGTCTTTCGTGTCACATGTGGCATGTTTCGCGGACATCTCCTTCAGTTCATGCTCCATCCTCACTTTCTCGTGAAGTTCTTTTTGAAGGACTGCAACCTCCGCACAAAAAAAATCACTCCACGGCAACCCTCGGGTCGCAGCGAGTCGAAACTCGCGGTAACCAGAACTATCTCGTGGACATCGCAGTGGACCAAAAGCATGTGGTTCCACCGTCGATCGCGGTGACCAAAACGTTTCATCCAAGAGTGGTGAATGCGGTTACCAGGTCATTCTCGAAGGAAAGACCTTTTGGTGTCGGTGTCAGATGGGGGAGCTACAGTCCAAATTCATCCAAACTCATCACCAAACCCCGTTCGACCCCCATCAACTGGTGAGGCTGCAAGGCAGTCTCTCTTCAGGGTCACCCAACTTCAGCACGTCTCAATCAACAAGCAATTGGCACACGTTCGCAAGTTTCAACACACGCCCAGCTCATGTCACGCACTTTTCTCCGCTACAAAGATCAGAGCTTCATATAGATGACCGTCCATTTTCAACGCTGTCCATCCCGACCTCGGCGACCTCGGCTCAAGGTGCCAACTGTGGAACCTGTGAGGCCACAAATGGGGCAAGCTGTCCGTGCTGCCCGGCCTGGCTTGCCTAGCAGAGATCTCGAAACCACGGTTGATGGTTGATGCAGGAACGGCTCTTCCACTGCAAGTTCCCCCATAAGTCACGACGACACGGGTTCGGACTGATCCACCACGGCGCTGGCATCACATCCAGCTTCTCCATCCGGTGGCCTGGCAAATGGTGGCAACACACGTTGGTCAGAAACAAGCCGCATGGTGGCAGAAATTGCATCTGAACACCGCCGCAGGCCGCGCTCGACCTTGGTCTTCGGAAGCCCTCCGCCCTCCACCATGGCCGCCAGCTCCGGTGGCACCTGTTTGCGCCCAACGAGTTGATCTTCCACAGGCCAACCCAGGCGTTGCTTCACTCGTCTTGGGCCCCCTTTTTGTTCGCGACAAAGTCTGGAAGTAGTGAGATGTTACACTAACTATGTGGAAACCGACATAAGTGTGTTATAGTCTAAGTGGTAATACTGTTGATGGACGAACTACTGCCAACTCACACGGCAGCACTACTAGCAATACCTGCTGTGGACACGTACTCAGTGACCTTGGCATAGCCTCGCCACTGTTGTTGTTGCCGTCAGAGACAAAGGCGATGCCGGACACCAAATCCTCGTTTCCGCCATGGTCTGCAAATCATCAGCACCAAGTTCATACACAATGTTTCCAGACGCCGCTAGAAACTCCACGTAACGCGGTCCAAATGGTGTTTATTGCGTTGCGCGTCTTGGTGTGCGTTCTTGTTGTTGCGAGTGTCCGGCACTTGAATTATTTTGGTTCATCAGTTTCATTCTATGGTTTTGCCAATGTCTAAAACATGAGCCAAGGTCTGCGTATAAAACACTGTATGAGTCGTATGAGTTTTTGGTCGGAATTGGGAAGTAAGATGAAGTATCTGGGGCTCCGGCGACCATGGGCAACTCAATGTGCCTGACTGGGATGCACTCTCCCTACTACCTACACAGCAACCAAGCACCCCTCAAACCAATGTTGAGAACGGAATTTGTTGGCGTTAATGTTGTTCACTATGGGGTGGGCGCCGCCGAGAGGGGGGGGTCAAGTAATTGATTTATCAATTAGTCATCACGTGGGAAGGGGGGAGTGGGGTGGTTAGACATTGATCTACCAATCTTTAGTCCCGAGCAGGCTCTCAAGCCAGCCCCTTTGCTTCGCAAAGCAAACTCAAGGTAGTCCTTACCAGGCTACCTTTCAGGGAAGCCCTGCAAGGTATACAGTAGGTCCTTCTAAGGCAAACCATGGCGCATCAGCACCAGAACAACCCCCAGAAGAACTGGACGCGAACCAAGTCCACTGTCTTGAAGCTGTTGGGTCAGGTGTTGACACATGGCCTTGGCCCAGTCAGTGGATGACATCACTCCGAGAAACGAATTTGCAAAACAAAACGCAAATTGTTCAGCGCTCATACTTTGCTGAACAAAGGGGAGGGGGGGGTAATAATTATATATTTCAATTTTTGTGGGCGCAATTGTTGTAACAAACGGGGGGCTGTAGTTGGGGCAATTAGGGCCCATTCGGGGGCGCAATTGTTACAACAACTGGGGGGGTATAATTTGCGTTGTTTCCATCCGGGGGATGCAATGGTTATTTAACATTGGGGGGGTTGTCAGTTGTTATTAAGCACCCCTCGCCGCCAACCGCAGCACTCTGCAAAAGAACAACAGCCAGGCCTCCAACGCTGCAGCTCATGGCTACACTCCGAAGACAGTGCGAGGACGCAGCGTGGTCTCTTCAGAAGAAGAGCGCAAACACAGGATTGATGTTGGAGAGAAGTTACGCGTAGATCGTCGGCACCCACGCTGGCGCAAGCGCTGGAAGAAGTCTACCTTGCGTTCAGGCTCAGTGACAAAACGCACTTTCACAACACTGCTTTGAAAAATGAGCTTCAGGCGTTGCAGCCAGAGTTCATGCTTCGTCAGAACAGATCTCGTGGCGGACATACAGCAAGAGTTGATGCTGGCAACGATGTTCGTGGTTAGAGGCTTTGCCTTGCTATTTTCCTTGCCTTTTTGGGATGTCTGGCTATCGTTCAATGGTGCTAGTCTAGGAGGTTACGTTGCAAGCCATTGGGCGGGCGCGTTGTATGTAATGACTGCCGGTTGCTTTGAGGAGGTCTGTGTGAACCCCACTGCGGCGAGCAGGAAGGACAAATCAGTCAGCAATTTCGGAAAAGCCTCTCAACGGCCAGAACGCTTGCGTCCGGCGTCTGTACCCGCAGGGCGCCCCATAAGATCGGAGCCCCAGCGTGGAAATGGTTGCCATAAGCCAAGCCTGCTGGAAAGCCGAACACCGCATATGAGAAAGAGAGACGACCAAACCGAATGGAAACATGGGAACGCAGACTGCGAAGCGTTCAAGGAACAAAGGGCAGCTTTTACATATGCTGAACACGCCAGTCAGCGACCAACCACCGCGCGAGACAGGCGAGTCTGGACCAACGGGATGGGAAGCAGCCAAACCAAACGTCGCTGCCACGAGAGGTGGTTCGTAGCCAGCCAAGGTCCGCGCGCAGCTCACATCAATGCGGGTCAAAACGCCACGCTCCATGCGGGCGACAACGACAATCCAGGTGCAATGCGGGCTGCACAGGCTCCTGAAACATTGGGAGGGAAAGTCCTCGCGCCATCAGCGGCTGCAACGCACAGGGCAAAGTATCGCGGGCGCGCTTGGCAAAGGCAGTCATGTGACTTGGTGACCAGGCACTCCACGCAGCACACGCTGCAACGCGGCTCACGCAAGCAATCAACGGTAGCATTGCAGGAGAAGCCGCGCGAGGTTGCGAGGCAGAGCCGCCAGGTTCATGGCGCGAGATTACAAGGAGTCCAGCGCGCGAATCGAGAGCCCAAACGCTGACGGAAGGAGATGTAGGGCCAACACTGAGGTCAACGTTGCAAACCATGGCAAACCCAGCAGAAGGAGATGGGAAGGAGAATGCACCAAAAAAAAGTAGCGCGACGCATCTGGCAGCTCGGGCAAATGCAAAACATGAAAGAAGAAACCAAACACAGGCATGCCCGAGCAGCAGATGAAGCGAAGTAGCATTTAGCATGAGTGTCAAGGAAACGCACACTATATATACTGTAAACCTCTCATGCCCGGAGCATCTGGAAGCAAAGCAGCAGCAGAAGCTTCATTTTCATTGCCACAGGTCTCTGCTTGCAACCGCGCGCTATGACCATGAACGCGGTGATGCGAGATGCAATCGCGGCATTGTCGAGATCTGCCCGCGCGATTGCAGGTTGATTCTTCTTACTTGTCTGTCTGACAGCGGCGGCACTGAGAGTGCAAAAGGGTTCTCCAGCTTGATGAACAGCAGGCCGTTTTGGGTGATGGGACGCGCGACCGTATCCTCTGGAATTTTTAGTGAAGAAAGCACACTTCACTCCTGCGGCATTGGTTGACATCGTCGCTTGCCGAAGGCGAAGCAGTTTCACTAGTCGAAAAACCGTCGCCGTATCTGACACATGTCGGAGACAAATTCAATTCGACGATGACTTGTTTGAGGTGTCCAACATCAGACAGCCGTAGCACAAGTTGCTTCAAAGAAACACAAATGGCCCGGCAGAAGGTGAGAATCGTAAGTCGAAGCTGCGCGTGGAGCAGTCGTTGGTGGTCCCCTGGGCGATGGCTGCGCTGAAGGTGGAGGGGAGTTGGTGTCCGCATCACGACGGGGATGAAGAAGAACTAGCTTGCCAAAGATTGCATCCATGTACTCACACAGCAGCACCAAAGCCTTCGCAGCAGACACTGGCCCTGCGGTCGACCACTGCTGTGGGGCGGTGCCCGCAGCAGATTGCATCAGGTTGCGCAGCAGCAAAGCCAATCTGTAGCGTCGCGTCTATAGCCCTTCCCGGCGCCCTTGGCAGCCTGCTGATCTAAGTGTTGCCAGCGTGGTCCTCGAACAAGACGGCGGCCTCAGGCGTGAACCGATAATGAAGCCGTGAGTACCTCAGATCCTTCACGAAGGCAGCCACTTTGCGACCGGGCGCAGAGCCCCAGCCTTCATTTCATTTCTTGTTGTACCTGGGCCTGTCATTTCAATTCTTGTTAGCCCGGAGTCCGTCCCCCTCCACCCCAACAACAACAACAACAACAAGGTACAAACAAAAACTGCAGCCCCGTTGCAACATATCTTCTTCCTTTGTCTCTACAAGGGGGTGGAAAGAAGAACTGCAGCCCCGTCGTTGTCTTTTTGACCCCCCCGAAGCTAGCACGCTAGCTTTCGTGGCTTCAGTTTTTTGTCTGAGCGGCTTCAGTTTTTTGTCTGAGCGCGCAACCAGTGTTGATTTCTTGGGATGTTGATGCGCTCCAAGTGCTTTCCGTTGTCCACCATTCTCCTGCGACCAACCTTGAGGCAACCAAACACAAAACACTAAATTAACTACTACTACTACTACTACTACTACTCCTCCTATTACTTCTGCTACTGCTACTGCTACTGCTACTACTACTACTACTACTACT